CTTTGAATTGTCAGTTAAGCAAGTTAAAACACACACACACACACACACACACACACACACACACACACCCCTCCATGTTCAAATTGGAAAGCACTGGCCAATCGCAGGAAATCCATCAGTTTCTCTGAGGGGGGTGTACAAGAAACAAGTTTTGGTTGCTAAGCATGGAAAATAAACCAGTAAGTGAGTGACATCACTTCAGAGTTATGAATTGAGGACTGTGAGAGATGGGCGGGACTTTGTACATACACAGAGTCTTAAAAAAAAAATCAGTTTTCCTGTCCTTTTCAGATCTGTAACTAGCTTTCCTTCAACAGATAGGTGGACGTGGACTTCGCTTTTTGAATCCTAATGGAGAGGAAGGGAAAGGAGTAGATTTTGCTTTTCTTTCAGAAGGTCAGATGGAAACCTTTCTGCGGTCCCATTTTTCGGACCCCAGTCTCTCTTTCTAAAGCGGTGTTTTTGAAAGTGTGGTACTTGGACTACCCGCCTCACAATTATGTGGGGTGACGGAAGAAGCACAGCGGTGCTTGTTATAAATGCAGATTATGGGCCCAAGTCGAGACCTATAGTTGCTAAAGCTCTGGGATAGGATTCAGGAATCTGCATTTTAAATTAGCTCCCCGGGTAATTCCGACACCGTAAAGTTTGAGAGGCATTGTCTCAAAGAAGCATCAAAAAGTCAAGGAAGTCCCCCAGGCCTTTTTAGGCGTCCCGTCCCCTGGTAGCGCTTGGCAAGTATGGTAGCCAAGAGTAACTGCTAAATTTTTAAGGGGCCATCCAGACCACCTACATTCTCCCAGCCCCGGAGCCCCAGAATTTGGGAATAAGGGAGAAAACTCTTTGTAAGCTTTGAAGCGCGACACAGAAGTCGGAGCGTTTCGCAGCTCACAGGTTTACTCCCGCCCGCAGGAGTCCGGACTGAGTGCTCCCTCCCCACTGAGCACAGTTCGGCCGCCCCTTGCTTGGTTGGCCCTGCGCCCAACCCCAGCCCCAACCTGTCCCAGGACCGCCGAGTCCCCGACCAGTGGCATCACTGCCGGACCCTTCTCGGCCCCTTCTGGCACTCACAGGTCGCCAGGGACGGGCCCGTTCCTCTCCCCTCCATGTTCCTCCTTCTTCCAGGTTTGAATCTCCCGCCGCCCGGCCACCGCCCCTCATCGTAGCCACAGGCAGACAGGACACGTCCCGTCTGTGCCGCAGGGGCCTCTGGGATTTGTAGTTCCAGGCTTGGGAGGTGCGCTGCCAGATGGGACGAAGGGTACTGTCCAAGACGGGGAGGGGCGCTCCCGGAGGGGAGCTCCCGTTCCTGTGGTATTTTGGGTCGCTGTTTCTCCAGGGCTCCTTCGCTGCTAAACCGTCTTATTTGAAGTAGCCCCTGCGCCTACCCCTGCCTCTATCATTTCTCCCTGGTATTCCCATTAACCCCCCCCCCCACACTTCCTATAGTGTTCTTTGGTCCCTTTAAGTTGAGGGCCTACTATATATAT